ATCTTGGTTTCTGTTTAATCGATCAAATCAACGGCGCCGACATTCGGCAGCGGATGTTTGACGATTGTGATTGACTTGTTGTTTTTGTCTCCTTGAAAACAGAGCGCATTGAACGCGCGAGTTTCGCCAACGAAACAATTTGGCACGCCTGGTGGGACACGTGTGTTTGAAGTGAAATATGGCTCTGCGGCATGGAAAACACAACGTTGATCTTCCACAAGAATCTGTGAAGGTGGAGCGTGTGGCCGACATTGATGTTGGCCGAGCAGAGGAGGCAGATAGACACATCGGTTGGATGAAGGAGTGGCCCCAATCCATGTCGAGCACTGACTGGCGTGTTGCACTCCTGTCTCTTCGTCGATCTATAGAGGATTATTACCGACAGGTAAATCTCTATTTTATCTCTTTAAATAAGCCTTGTGATTCTCTTGAAAGACATATGGATAAATTTTTTGAGATGATAGATGAACATGTTTCCGGTATTGCCAATAAGGATTCACTTAAACTTGTGGCTAAAACAGTGTTGTTAGGGGCTAGCAAATCTTATGTTGGTTCTCCTATGAACACTATAGTTTTGAAGGACAGGAAAGTTAGAGCTGTCTTGCGAAAGCCACAAAAAAGAATAAAATTTAAACGTGTTTATAATAAGTTTCAGAAAATTAGGAATAACAAGTGTGATATCTTCAAAGATGACAAATTTTACAACATTGTTCAATCTAAGCCACTAGGGGGGTATGCCATCCCAGCTCGTGGTAGATTGAAGGAGAAACAACAGTGTAAGTGGCAAATAAGTTTGCCACATCCACCCTGTTCTAAGAATAATCGAACTAGGGTCACCACAGACACTATTCAAGATGGAGGTGGTGACCACGTGAAAAAACTCAATGCTACCAAAGGTGGCAAGAATCAACAAAATCCCCCATGTAAAGTGTCCCCAAAGACTTCATTGAGTGGAGAAGGGGACAAATTCAATCAAGCTCGACATGGAGTTGCCACGCCAGTGTTTCCAAGGAACAAATCTGCCATGATTGGTGGACAGGGGGGCAAGTCCAATGCCCGAAAAATTCCTTTCTCACGTGGAAATTCAAAAGATACTAAGTGGTTCTGTGATAAGTGCAAAAATCAATATCACAGTACTTACACAAGTGTTGGGGAAGCTCGCGAGCCTCGGTACTCATACTCCCAACAACATGGTGAGAGTGTGAAGCTGAAAAAACCAGACCAGTCTAGGCAAACAATGCCGCATGGTCGAATTGGCAAGACAATGCGTAAAAAAAGGTGAATGTCCTGCCAAGAGCAAAGAACACTAGCGTTTCTCCATGTCACCAAAATAAGACAATGGCTGAGAGGAAACTAATTCGAGCTGGTGGAGTTTCGAACAAAGATGTTCGAGCTGGGGAGTTGCGAGCCAACCTTGATTCCAAAACATCAAAACCAACGTATGTGAAGCCAGCAAGTCAGGGTATTTATGGATGGCTCGTTTGGTTTGATCCGTGGAGTTGGCAGTGGGTGTGGACCTTTGGCATGATGGTTCATGCACAAATCTAACCTACTCTTCTTACCTCTCTATTATTAAAGAAATAAATGGCTAATATATGCCATGTAATACATCAAGGAAAAATTAAAAAAAAAAGTAAAAAAAAAAAAATTAAGTGCAATTGGTAAGCTCGCTGCAACATTGCAAAAAATCCACAATTGGCCATAAACATCATTGTTTGGCCAAATCGAGCTGTAGGATTCGAAACAAAGAAGAAGATCCACAACTTTGTGCCTTGAAGAGCTACTGCGGCCTTGTTAGAAATATTATAAAGAAAAGGAAAGACGGCCAAAACAGCGCTGATGAAAAAAATTATTCATCTCAGTTCCGGCCAAGCCATGTTGCGGCTGTTGTGGCCAAGCAGCTCTGGCGAAGAGAAAAAAAACAAAGGGGGAAGGGCGGCCAACAATTTGGTTCAACAATTGTGGCCAAGCCATCTTAGTATAAAAACTTTGAGCCATTTAGGTGTTATACTATTTTGTCAACAATTTGGTTCATAATTCTTATAAACAAAATTGTGGGGGGCATTGTTGACACACCTAAAATTAATTCGGCCGGAATTAAATGCAGCATTAATTGGTCTCGGCATTTAATTCGAGACCGCGGGTAAAAAACGGTGTTGTTGGGAGTCGAGCGGCGTCACGGAGAACTAAAAACGGTACTGCAAGGTAGCTTAGCGGTACTGGAAACGGCACCGCTTACCGAGAAAGAAAAGGGGCCGCGTGTTTAGTGTGGGTATTGGAGAAGGAATTTTCTTTAATTAATTATTATTATTCTTATTCCTTGTTGGATGGAGAGAAGCGGCACCGCGGAGAGTTAAAACGATGCCGCGGAGTTAAAAACGGTACCGCGAGGAAGCCCAATGGTACCGTTGTATTAGCAAACGATAGTGTTTAATATAAAACAATGTCGTGGAGTAAAAAGCAAACAGAGCTGTTTGGGGAAGAAAACGACATCGCGTGAGATTCACACCAACCCGAGCGAGGAGGAGATCAAGACGGTTGAGACACGTGGGAGTTCACAACGGAGCGGTTGAGGAAGCAGTTCCACAGGGCGTGAAGACTACGCAAGTGATTTCAAATAAAAGCAGCCGAGCAAGGAGAAAGAGGGGACGACCAAATCAACACAGGAACAACTCTGTCAAAACTTTACCTATTCTCTGTAACTCCTTCGCGGAGCACTCCTTCCAGGAAGGATCTCCATAGTTGTAGTCTTAGTCGTAGTCGCGGAGCTCTCCACAGGAATCTCCATAGGAGTAGCGGTAGTGTAGATTCCTCAAAAAACTCAAACACCCTCGTTCGAACGTAGTTTGGAGAGGTGCGAATCGTATTAACGGTCGTTCTTGGTTAGAAGTCAGAGGTGCATCGATCAAATCAACACCGCCCGACGGTGGATATTTGACGGTCACGTTGATTTCACCATTTAGAGGTACATCGATCAAATCAACGGCGGCGACATTCGGCGGCGGATATTTGACGGTCGTCTCGATTTCAGCAATCAGCGGTGCATTCGATCAAACGGCATCGCAAGAGTTTCCACTGCGAAACACCAAATCAACATCGCCGCAAACCAAATTCGGCACCGGTGGTGGCATTTGGTTTTCCCGAGGAAACAAGCAGGTTGGACCAGGCTTCGGCGGTGGCGAATCGGCCTCTTCTCCACAGGAAGACACATCAAGACACTCTATTGACGATTTCTCCCGCGAGTAGTTGGTGAATTGATTCCGAGAACCTCTTCTCCTCCGTCAGTTCCTCCGACGGACTCAGCCCAGAGAACATAATAAATACAGATGCTAAAAATCCACCATAGCCGAACCTCTCAATCTCATCAGAAGAAGAAAGAGCAAGGCAAGGGAATACTAAACCACTAGGGATAGTTTGCAGCAGTCACGCACTAAAAAGGAAATCCTTTTAATGATCTGCCTAGAGATTTTGATTTTCCATACCACCGCCGAAGCCTGCTCACAAGAGAAATCGTCAATCGAGTGCGGATGTTGTTTCTACTTTCTTCGCGTGGGAATACCCTAAGTCGCCACCACCGAAGTCTACTCCAGACGGTATCGATGGCTAGCTCTCGGACTTGATGGTCGATTTTGTCTGATACGGTACAAGTAGGGTGGAAATCGGTACGGTATCGGTATACCAATATCAAATACCGAAATTCCCAATACCGAATTGCACCCTAAAATCAATCTCAATCCCTAAATAATTTCGATATCCCAATCCCAATCACTAAATATTTTGGTATCCCAATCGGTACTTCGGTATCCCAATCGGTATTATCGAATACGAAATTAATTACCTATATAATTAATAATTAAATATAAAAATTAGATTTGATTGTTTAATTTAGGGCAAAGAGACTAAGTAAAGAGTCTTGAGTTTGCTTAGAGCTAGGATATAGATAAAGAGAATGGAGGAGAGGTCACATCTCAAGTTCTTGTCATTGATAATCTTTATTTGGACGAATTGGAGGCTGAGAGAGGACTAATACTAATGTTTGCTTTTTGGTGTTATGAAACTAACAAGTGATTAGCTGAGAGACAAGAGTGACTTATATTGGAAAGTCAAAATTGAGTTGGATGGGGATTTCTAAGTTGGGAAATAGTGATGGAATGACCTATGTATAATAAAATGACACTCTTGGTGGTTGAGGGCCGTGTAGTAGTGAATGAAAGAGTATAGTTGGGAGGATAAAATACACACTAGCTTATATTTCGGTATTGATCGGTATTTTGGTATATACCGATCCTAATCTCGTAATCCCTAATATCGAATTACAATTGAAATTCAATCCCAAACCCAAAAAATAATACGTGTATTTGGTATTTATTTGGTAATACCAAATACAAGACAAATTTGGTACGATATTCGGTAAATTCCGAAAAACTGGTACCGAACTTCTAGCCCTAGGTACAAGGGTGTGGATGGAGTAGAGAGGAAGAAGAAGGTTTTGTCGGGTTAGAAGGGTTGGAAGTCTTTTAATTTTAGGTACATAAAATAATTAAATTGAAATTATGAGTTTTTAGTTTTTTGGAGTTAATAAGGGCAATTCAATCATTTTACAGCCCATTAAACTATTATTTAACATAAAATTAGAGGGAAGGGTATATTCGTTACGTTTTAATACTAAAAGGGTATATTTGTATAAAAAATTAGTAGAAAATTATTTTTTTGAATTTGCAATAATAAAAAGGTATACTATTAACCCTATATTTTAACCACTAAATTAACTCATCAAACCTCATGAATTTTAGAGGCTTTTGATGCCAACCTGAGCCCGGCCCAAGGTTACACATGGTATGTTATCTTTGGAACCCAACTAAATGACGAGCCCAACTGAAGCGAGTCACAATCACAGCCGAGTGGAATGCGCCAACTGCCACCCACCCTGCGATCTCTCTCTCTTTCACACGCAGTTGCAGTCTCTCCATCTCCTTCTTCTTCTTCTTCTCCTCCGTCACATAAATTAAAACGCTTTATTGTGCCCCATGTCGCTCTGAAAAGGAACTGACTTTTTTTTTTTTTTACAATCAAAATCTGGATTTTTATTAATTATTCATAGAGTCTTGTTCCAGAACAGAGAATAGAAAAAAAGGTGGTCTTTCAGACCAAAATTCCTCTGCATCCCAAGGGCATTGGGTATGGGCCAATAAGTGGGCTGCTTGATTGCCTTCTCTTCTTGTAAAACTCCAACTGATCGGTCCGGCCCTGTTGGTTTCCATTTCAATTTCTTCAATCAGAAGCCCACTCTCAGTCCTTGTCCTCACCCTATTCTATAGCGATAGGAACACAGGCTGGCAGTCAGTCTCGACCACAATTTGCTGGAGGTCGTACATTTCCTTCAGTCGAAGACCAAACTGAATCGCCCGGATTTCAGCTATCTCCGGTGACCATTGAGCTCTCTCTCTTCGAATTGCTGCATATCGGAAGTTCCCCCGCTCATCTCGTACCACTGCTCCATAGCCCGTGCCCTGGCCAGCCATCACCGCCGCGTCGATGTTCATCTTCAGCCACCCTTCCGGTGGTTTTTTCCAGGTATAACTCCTCTCCTCTACTTGAATCGGCCCCTGATTGTTTTGGTTTTGGTATTCCTCCCAGTAAGCATACGCTTTCCCCGCGATTTCCCACTCCTCAGCCTTGTGATTGTTAAAACACTGGTTATTCCTCTCGAACCACATGAACCATAGCAGAACCCCCAGCTGCCCTAAAGTATCATCATCTACCATTTCCATAATTTCGCACAGCCAGCTTCCAGGGGATAGGGTTCCATCTAATTCGAAGAAATTTCTCAACGGGGTAGGTTTCCATATCCTTACTGCCCAGTCACACTCCCTGAAAATGTGGTTTTGTGTTTCTTCCAGCCCACAAAAAGGGCAATTAGGGCTTGCATCCCTCTTTCTGGACTCTAGATTCTTTCCTGTGGGTAGTATGTTGTGAGCCAATTTCCATAGGAAAATCTTCACCTTCGGGGGAATAATCAGCTTCCATAGGCGCTTCCAATTCATAGGGTCATACGCTTCCACTTCTATCCCCTGTTCTTCTGTTTCGACATCCACTTCTTCCCAATGAATCTCCTTCTCTGTATTCTTCTTGAACCAGTATCTATAGGCTGTTCTGACTGAAAACTTACCATTCTTTTCAAAACTCCAAATTCGCTCATCCTGTGCTGGTTGCCTGGGGATTGGGGTCCCTTGTATTCTTGCTCTGTCCACAGCATTGAAATGCTGTTGTAGGATATTCGACTTCCACATTCTGCTCTCATGGTCAATTAGTTCAGCTACTATTGATGTTCCTCCAATAGTGCACTGTGGAGTGGTTACCTTGTAGCCATCTTCCTCTGCATTTGCCAGCCATCTGTCCTGCCAGATATTTGTCAGTCTTCCATCTCCTATTATCCATCTTAAGCCTTCCTTTACCATTGTCTGAGCTGCCATTAGGCTTCTCCACGTGAAGCTGGGGTTATAGCCCACTCTTGCTTGGAGCACGTCTGAGTTTGGATAGTATTTAGCTTTCAAAACTCGTGCTGCCAGCGATGTTGGGTTTTGAAGGAGATTCCAAATCTGTTTTCCCAGTAGGGCCAGGTTGAAGGTTTTTAGATCTCTGAAATCTAGGCCCCCCTCTTCTTTTGGCTTACAAAGCTTCTTCCATGCCTTCCATGTGATTCGTCTCTCTTCCTTCTGTTGTCCCCACCAGAAACTTGAAATAGCTTTCCTTAATTCATCAATTACTCCATCCGGAACCTGGAAAACTGACATCGTGTATGTGGCCTGTGCCTGAGCCACTGACTTGATTAAAACCTCTTTTGCTGCCACCGATAGCATCTTTCCCTTCCAATGTTTGATCTTCTTCCTCACTTTTTCCACTAGTACCCCAAATACTTCCTTCTTCTGCCTACCAACTACTGTGGGTAGTCCTAGGTATTTCTGGTGGTTTACCACTTGCTTCATCCCCAAAATCTCTGCCAGATAGGTTCTTGTGTCAGCATTTAGATTTGGGCTGAAGCTAACCTCAGATTTTGTTAGATTCACCATTTATCCCGACTCCTCCTCGTAGATCTTCAAGATCTCCCTAAGTTTGCTGCACTCCTCCGAGGTAGCTCTTGTAAAAAAGATGCTATCATCTGCAAAAAGCAGATGGGAGATTTCAGGACCCCTTGCCGAGCACTTAATGCCATGAATTTTCTTTTCTCTAGTGGCTTTATCAATGAGAGCAACCAAGCCTTCCACGCATAGTAGAAAGAGGTAAGGTGAAATGGGATCACCTTGCCTCAGTCCTCTCTCAGGCTTGAAAATTTCAGTTTGGTGCCCATTCACCACCAAGGAATAAGATACTGTTGTGACACAGTTCATCATCAATTTTACCCATCGCTCTGCGAATCCTAATTTTAACATCATTTGCTCTAAGAAGTGCCATTCCACGCGATCATAGGCCTTTGAAATATCTAGTTTTGCTGCCATCCAACCCTTCTTGTTCTTTTTCTTTTGCTTCATTGTATTAAAGCACCCTAGGTACAAGGGTGTGGATGGAGTAGAGAGGAAGAAGAAGGTTTTGTCGGGTTAGAAGGGTTGGAAGTCTTTTAATTTTAGGTACATAAAATAATTAAATTGAAATTATGACTTTTTAGTTTTTTGGAGTTAATAAGGGCAATTCAATCATTTTACAGCCCATTAAACTATTATTTAACATAAAATTAGAGGGAAGGGTATATTCGTTACGTTTTAATACTAAAAGGGTATATTTGTATAAAAAATTAGTAGAAAATTATTTTTTTGAATTTGCAATAATAAAAAGGTATACTATTAACCCTATATTTTAACCACTAAATTAACTCATCAAACCTCATGAATTTTAGAGGCTTTTGATGGCAACCTGAGCCCGGCCCAAGGTTACACATGGTATGTTATCTTTGGAACCCAACTAAATGACGAGCCCAACTGAAGCGAGTCACAATCACAGCCGAGTGGAATGCGCCAACTGCCACCTACCCTGCGCTCTCTCTCTCTTTCACACGCAGTTGCAGTCTCTCCATCTCCTTCTTCTTCTTCTTCTCCTCCGTCACATAAATTAAAACGCTTTATTGTGCCCCATGTCGCTCTGAAAAGGAACTGACTTTATTTCTAAGGGAATTGGAATTTCTCTCTCCATTAAAATAAAACGAGAGTGGGCATAAGGAGAAAGCCAAAGCAGGCCGGTGCGATGCAAATGATCTCCAAGGCATCATCTTGCGCCATGGCTTCGCTCTCTTGCAGCAGGGTTTGTCTCTCCTCCTCTCCTCTCTTCTCCAGCATTTCCTTGTTCCTTCGTTTCCGCTTCGAATTGTTCAACTTTAATAAGACCCATTTTTGGTTGATTGAGGAATTGCGTTCTCAGTGTTCACTCAGTGTTTTCTTTCTCTAGTACTTCTTTCTCCTGTGTGTGTTTTGCTTTCTGCTTGAATCTGGAGAATTTCGGGTGCTTTTTGTTTGCTTGTGATTGATTTCTTGGTGGGCTGAACTGAATCAACTTGGTTGATACATGCCACCGATTATGCAAATCTTCGTTGCCAATTCTGGAGATGGACATTGCTTCATGTCCCTTTGCTGCTGCTGCAAATTATATTACATTTGCTCCACATTTGGTCCATGTTTGTCGATAGTCCGTAAAGTATTGCAAGAGTCAAGTTTCCATGGAAGAACTGTGAAGTAAATGCTTCCACTTAAGTTGCTTGCGTGAGCAAATAGGGGTAGAGATTATGGTATTGGCGTTGGATTCTCTTATGCATCCTGGGTTATTTCATTTCGATATTGTATTGGAAATAAATGGTAGCTTAAGCTAGATGGTCTAAACTTTCCCATAGCAACAAATGGTATACCAGTGCATGCCTACTTATTACTTGGATATGATTTGGAGAAATGCCCAAGTTATATTGGAGAAAGTCCTTACAATTGGTTACTACTGAAGATCAGACTATGGCCTTTGACTTTGAGCTGTGTTTATTGCATTTCAGGCAAGGAGTGGGCTATGCGTATGGCCAGGTGCAAGACAGCTTTGCCTTCGAAAGAGCCTCTTGTGTGGATTCATGTGGTTGCTATCTACCCCATTTAAAACATTGCGCTGTGCTGGCCGAACACTTAGAGTTTCCCAATTTTGCAGTATAACAAATATGTCATCCTCATTGCAAATTGAATTGGTAAGGGTACATCTGCTTAACATATTTCTATCTATTTCACCTTTTTCTCTGCAATTCCACTTTCTAACAGTTGTTAGTTGTCTGAACTTTTTGAATCTGTAAGGTGCCGTGTCTGAGGGACAACTATGCATATCTATTACATGATGCTGACACTGGCACAGTAGCTGTGGTTGATCCTTCCGAGTCTGTACCTATTGTAGATGCTCTAAGTAGGAAGAACCGAAATTTGACCTATATACTTAATACCCATCACCATTATGACCATACTGGTGGAAATGAAGAGCTGAAAGCAAGGTACGGTGCAAAGGTATGAAAATGCTCTGATTTTCCCCTCTTATGGTAAAGAAGTTAAAAAAATATGTAATGCAGATATTATTTTTACATAGTTGTGTTCTATAGAGCCTGACAATGGTTTGTAATCAAATGAATCCTCTGTTTCTTGACTAATATCATATTCTGGGAAGAGCAACTGTTTAAGTTTGCAATGTTATGAAGTCGTATAGAATCAAACATTTGTTTATAGTCAACATAACTCTTGGTTCTTTGTTCTCTCATACTAGTATATTCTGGTAAGAGTACTGTTTGTTTATGAATGTTTATGAAGTTTTCTTGGTTATAGACAGTAGTTACTGATCTTAACCTTACGACTAATATGTTTGTATCTCTATCCTTCTGTTTTTCTTTTTCCATTATGATGATTGTATAAACTACTGCGAGCTTTCGTATTCAACTTTCTTTCATCTTTTCTTTATTTTATACCCTCGTTTGTACAACTTCTCTATCAGAGAGGCCATACAGACGTGTATACTAAATTCAATTCTCCTTGCTTGCTTGTTTACAACATCCTTACTAGGACATCATTCATTAAATATTCTAGAGGTTTATGTTTGCATGTCTTGCATATAGGTAATTGGCTCAGGGCTTGACAGTGAGAGGATTCCTGGCATTGACATAGGTCTAAAGGATGGGGACAAGTGGATGTTTGGAGGTCATGAAGTTCTTGTCATGGAAACGCCTGGCCACACCCGAGGTTGAAATTTTGCTATTTATTTACTGTGAAGAAATTGTTAAAGATGTATGAGAATTAGGAAGTGTCTCACCAATCATTGTATCTTTCAAATATGACCACTTGGTCATAAAAGTCCATACACAATTCCTTCACCACAAATTCACATTTCTGCTATAACATTTGGTTTATAGTGATGAAATGGTAAGCATTTAGGTGTCAGATGTGCTATAAGTTAGTCTGGAGTTGTAAAAAGTAAGTCACAGATTGAACATGATATGGTAGAAGCTAAAATTTGTCGAATGAAAGCTTAACATATTTTTAGAGATCTCTTCAGACTCATAATATGTGCTAAAATATTCATGTTGCAGGTCACATTAGTTTCTACTTCCCTGGATCCGGTGCAATTTTCACAGGAGACACTTTATTCAGTTTGTCATGTGGCAAACTCTTCGAAGGGAAACCTGAAGAGGTAATTGTTTTTTCCTAGCTTAGCACTTACCAACATTTTTGTTATGTTTCGATAAATTACTTACCAATGTTCAATTTCCATGGTATTAAGTAGTCTCTAGACTCTCCTGCTGTAGTGTTATTAAGTGTGGAACATTTCTTTGTTGTCTGCGAACAATCAATTGGTATATAGTATTAATGTAGTCTGTTTTCTTTTATGGAAGTTTTCTAGTTATTATAACTATTGAGTGCGGAAAACAATATGATTCAAAATGGCTAAAAAACTTGAAAGAATTGATCCCTCATGTTGGCAAAGAGCAAATTGGTGTTTGGAAGACTTGAGGGAGCACAACAGCAAATCGTGCTTCTTGGTAGAATATTCTAGTGTTTCTGGTTTTTTCGGTCATGTAACGTATTTCCTTTGTTACAGATGCATGCTTCCCTTCAAAAAATTTCATCTTTACCAGATGATACAAAGATCTTTTGCGGGCATGAATATACATTGGTTCGTAATCATCACCTTCCACATTTATAAGTGTTTGAGAGCTTTTTTTTGTCACTCAAACAGTGTAATGAGATCTATTTGCATTTTGACAGAGTAATTCTAAGTTTGCTCTGTCGATTGAACCCAACAATGAGTCGCTGGAATCATATGCAGCACAAGTGGCTCATCTTCGGAGCAAGAGCTTGCCAACAGTAAGCCACTGGCGCAACAACAAGACTTCCTTTTATTCTTCTCGTATCCCTTCCCATTAAATCTCATTTTGTCCATCTGTTCATCTTTGTGCTTGGTGTTGTGCGTCAGATCCCGACCACCCTAAAAGTTGAGAAGGCTTGCAACCCTTTCCTGCGCTCTGCAAGTTCAGAAATTCGCCGGTCATTAAAGATCCCAGAGACGGCAAGTGATGCAGAAGCATTGGGAGTCATCCGTCGAGCCAAGGATGATTTTTGAGGCTGAACAGAAGGGTTTTTAAATAATCAACAAAAATGAATATACTTGCATGGGAAGTGTGTATAGATTAATGCTCGCAATTCCTTACCACCACCAGATTATGTTTTCTTACCTTGTGTACATTTGTAGCTGTGGCTACCCATCATACATTTTCTTTCCCCACTTGAATCCTCTCCAAAGTATATCCCTCATTCATAAATTGATATTCCGGGCTTCTTTCCTCCAACAGAATTCTATTCTCGTGAAGAGTTTCTTACATGACTTTTGCTTTTGACAACGACTTCAAACGAAACCAGCAGCCGTCAGCACCAATGTACAGACAACTACTTTCAAAATGATAAACCTGGAGTTTCAAGAGTCGATAGAAACCAACGCTTGTGCGACTATAAGCATATGGCAGTGCCAAAGGCTGGCCAGAGAGGAAAGAATGGCAGCCCGGAGATGGAGGAAATTACAGGGTGACGAAGAAGCAGAAGAAGGACGGGGTTGATCATTGGCAGGCTGTTCAGGGCGAGATCATGGGGCATAGTCATCTACTTTCCTCGACGGCAAGCAGGTAACTCAGCTAACTGAGTCCTCATTCTTGGCTGCCAATTCAGTTCCAATTTCCAACCGAGATTTCTTGTGACACTATGTGACAAGAAAACGCATTTGATTGATTTCTTCGTACAATTTTTATTTAGTTTCATACAAAAGTTTTAAATTTTCACACACGACTTCGTAAATATCAGTATATCACTAACCGATTACATAAGTTATTAAATTTTAAATTTTTTTTAATATAGTAGTGGTGTGCCACTTTCTTCATCACCGCGTGTAGCTTAAGAATTTTTTCACCCCGTTGGGTTGAAAGTAGGGATGGCAATGGGTCGGAGACAGATAATACATATCCGTTATCCTACTCAAAGTAGTTCGAATTTTACTCAGCGGCGGATCCAGGACACAGCGGAGCACTGAGCCGCATTTCATTAGAAAATTAGATATCGTAAAAAAATCACAATTTTTTTTTACAATAACAATTGTATACGTCAATCTTTTAAATTTTAATATAGTGAATTCATCAATAATACATCCACATCAATAGCATACTCTCTTTAAAATAAAATAATTAATCAATTGGAGAGAAATTCATCGTTCATTTTGTTGTGCAAATGTCAACACAATCGACTAATCAATTCCTATTTTCAATGGCTGATCAAGTAATTTCTTAAGAAAATAAACCTTATATTACTTTTAGTCTTTTACGTTTTAGAATTTTAGGTTTCATTGTTTACTTTTCTTTATATGAGAATTATTGGAGCTAGAATTTTCAGGCTAAATTTAGAGTTGTGATTTGAATATGTTCATCTTACCCCATTTTCCTAATTACACACAATTTTATTATTAAATAACACTGGGCCAAATGGTTAAATCGATAAACTCATAAGGGCTATACTAGTTCCGGATCCAGAGGAGGGCTGGGCCGTGGCCCGGGGTGGCCACCCCCTGGATCCGCCACTGGTTTTACCCATACCCATACCCACATAAAAAACGGGTAGAAAATTCAAACCATGTCCATACCCGTTCGGATTTCGGGTATCCACGGTTATCCATGGATAATAGTTTTTCTTTATAACTCCAACCAATATGTTAATATTTATACGTATTCTCATGTTACGTATGACGAAAAGTACGACAATAATTTACTAGAATGAAAAAATTAATTAAAACAACAAAATTTCATAAAAAATTATACTTATATGCTAAATATAAAATATATTAGAGAAAAATATTGATTATTTCTAGATAAAATACATATGCATGTGTATAATCGGACGAGTTCGGGTTGGATAGTGAGAAAATCATGCCCATCCATTACTCGCGATATTCGGGTTCGGGTTTTACCCGTACCCACGAAAAGTCCTTCGGGTTCAGGTTTCATTCTAACCGATTAGGTTGGATTCGGGCGGATATCCACGGTTACGGATATTTTTGCCAGCCCTAGTTGAAAGGAGTATTGGGTGTAGTGATGGCAATTTCAACCCGCCCCGCGGGTATTACCCGACCCGCAGTAGTGGGGCGGGGCATGGGTATCTACTTCCGACCCGCCCTGCCCCGCCTCGTTCTAGACTCACTTTATCTAAATTTCTTACAATATCTATACATATTTCTCCTATTTTGACTTTTCTTCAACTAGTTAGAGTCGATCTTTCAACTTGTTAGGCTCAATTATACATTCTATTATCAATATTTTTCATTCTTAAAGTGTTTTTTCCTACATTTTATTGTAAAAAGTAAAATTTACTTGTATTTTTTTTGAACAACATGTAAGAGTGGGTCGACCCGTCCCTCCCCGTATCCGCGCGGGTTTTACCCGCCCCGACCCGTAGTAGCGTGGGGCGGGGCATGGAAATTGAGGTACCCGCCCCGCTCCGCCCCATTGCATCACTAGTTGGGTGTGTAGGTTTATTTGTTTAGTCATTTTTAAGCAATAGCAAAGTGATGGGAAAAAATGTTTATGAGTAACTATCACGGGAAAGAAGAAAAGAAGAGAAGAGAAGAGGAGAAGAGAAGCTAACTAATTTGAGTAATTTGGGTGTAATATCGGTTTGTCTATAAAAGTTGGTGATGAGTTATTTGTATTTGAATTAATTTGAAATAACTGATTAATGATTTTTTGTCAATACCTCATATGAGGCAATTATTGTGAAATAACTCACAAATACCACATTCTCATTTTGTGAGAAATTCCACTTTTATATTAACTCGTTACACAACAACGCATCCAAACCATCCCTAGAAATTCGAATTCTTATTCACTTTATTTATCTCATTCACAGATCTGCAACTGCGATCCCTTTTTTATACATGAACACTAACACATTACAGAATCGTACCCTAACTATTGGATGGTTACAATTCCCGTCTCATATGAAGCAACTTGCTCCCTAATCGTATACAACCAGAACACAGGAAACGAAAAAAAGAAAGCAAAAATACAGAACTAAACCAAAAGAAAGAGCATAACCATAACCAAGCCGTGGGTATCTATAGATGGACTTGGTCTAGGTTTAGCCGGTCAGATTCTGATTGCGAAAACAATGTTGAGTATCTGCTGCATGTTGTGCGGTGAATTGATTTTGGATTAGACCCTTGTATATTATACTAAGAGAGAACGGAATCAAGTCTGAGAGTATCCATATTGGTCTTGCATTTTCAATTGCAAAACCAATTGTATTGAACTATTGATGTAGCTACCAATTGCATATTTGCAAGCTTGTATCTAATACAGTTATGGATTACAAGTCACATCATCTTTTTTATTATTTTATTATCATTAAGATTTTTATAATTAAATTAAAAAGTGAATTTTAATTGAATTGTATTAATGTTAGTACAATGAAAGTAATATGAGTTGTATTGGAAAGAGTTGAGGTTGTAATAAAGAGCACAAATACAATTGCAATTGTATTGCTGAATCGTTATTTGTTGCCCGTAAGATGACTATTTGTTTCCCATCATTTTAAATCAAAATACGATTTTGCCCTTCAAACCCCAACCCTCCACAATTATCCCTCACCTCTAAATCTAATAGCTTCTGCCCGCCGACAGGCAATGCCACCTGTCATAGCTTCTTCCCACTGACAGGAAATCCCACCGACCACAAATGAAAATAATCTAATCATCGTCGAGAACTGTTCAGGCGAGGGGGTTCAAACCGGAAGCCATGGTCGGACAGAGAGGCTTGATCCTACACCGAGTACTAGAAGCCATGATCCGACGCCAACAATCAGACAGTGAGGCTCGATCCTATTCCTGATAATAGACATATGGCCAGCACTAGAATTCCGGCAATGACAGTCACCACCTGCGATTTTTTCTATAAATAATTTATATTAGCGATGAAATATTATTCGGTAAAAATTATTATATATTAAAAATTATACCATAAATGCTAAGTTAACGGGGTCATTTAGTGCTCTATTATGGATTCCTTGCCAATTACCCATGTCTCATTATATTAAATTAATTTCCTTAATCAATAACCGACCAGATTGTTGGCGGGAGGTGATCAAGTCAGTAACCCTCCCATTAGTAACCATCAGTAACCCTTTCTCTAGCCCCCACGTGTCAGTCTTTTCTTTTTATTTAAATTAAATACGGAGGCGCATTAGGGTAAAATACAATAGGCATTACGTAATGGTTACGTAACATATGATAATCTTACGTAACAGTTGTAAAAGATCATTACGGAATCCTTACGTAATATAACGTGCCTTTACGTAATGAGTATTAACCTCGCGTTACATAAAATGCTAAGTCATGACGGAAGCCTTACGTAACGCTACTGATTTAACTGTTACGTAAGAAATAACTGTCGTTCCGTAACCTATACGTAATGGAAGGTCTTTTTACGTAATGAGTATTAACCTTGCGTTACGTAAAGTGCCAAGTCATTACGGAAGTCTTACGCAACGCTTCCGATTTAACTGTTACGTAAGAAATAACTATCATTCCGTAACCTTTACGTAATGGAAGGTCTTTTTACATAATGAGTATTAACCTTGATGACACGCTAACATACAACACCAAACTGCGACCAAGTGTAATCGCAGTCCGGAAATGTAGTAACAGACAAGCTCTAATTGTCAACCCGGGGTCTAGATCTACTGCCTACTCCGTGTATATCTGTTATCTAGCAAACTAAGTTGAGTGATTGTTGCTTTAAGTAAAAGCAGTAAGAAAGCAGGAAATGGTTCGGTTTTCTAAAGCAAAGGAAGAGTCACTCGAGAATGAGTCCCCCTAGCTCCTTAGTTAGGTCACAGTTGTAATTACTTTTGGTTGCTTTACTGCTGATTATACTGCGGAAGATCCGATAGTAGCTTGGAATCTCTTAAGCTGACCAAGCCCTCTCAGTCAAACTACCCGGCAGACGACTAGTCTTCACCGGGATAGAACGCTGAGGCAATGAACACAGAACTCCACTACTGGAATTAGATTCCAGTACAAAGCAGTGAATC